CGTGTGGCAGGGGCGGCGCTGGGCTGGCGGAGAAGGAGGAGGGGGTTGGGAACTCGCTGCTCACCCTGCTGTATTGGGAAAGGGGCTCTCACGGTGCTTGCGGACTCCTGTTGAGCTAGGGAGACTAGATTACAGCTACTGGAGGGGGAGGGAAGCAAAGGACGATCGGTGAGAAATCGAGGATGCGTTAAATGTTAAATAATGATAGAAATGGAAGAAAATTTTTGGAGGGGGGACAAGAGCACCTAGTGGATTACAGAAGGTAAAAGGGTTTTTTTGTTTGTTTTTTGTTTTTTTAAGCTAAAATCTCTGGAAATAGTCGGTGGCAGTTGGAATCCTAAAGCTCCTCGGTTAAATGAGGGAAATGTCTTGTTAGATTATCTAAAGACTATTGAGCTGCTGTGCTAATTATCTAAAGTTGCTACATCCCTTCTCATATTTATGAAACCCATTTCTTGCTTTTGATCAAATAGTCGTATTTCGGCAATGCAAATAAGAAGAGAATGCAAGCTAACTGTTCCGTTTGCATTGCAGAAATATGACTAAGAAGAGAATGCAAGCTAACTGTTCCCTATTTGTGCAAATATTGTTTATTCTTTCTTTATAGAGATGTATTCTGTAACTCACTGCCTTGGTTTGCTCACTCTGAAAGTGTAAACGATAGTAAAGATTAGAAATTCAAGAGACGTTAATCTCAATGCAGATGTCCACATAAGGCCTATTCATTTATTAAAGCACCAGTCTCACAAATGAATACACATGGATGAACTGCACATTGATTTTAATAGCAGTGCAAGAGGTGTGTCTGTTGCAGGCTTGGGGCCTAAGAACTTTGGGGGAGGACAAGGCATCAGTTGAATACTCTCTGATAGGGTGAATTTCACTTCTAGGGCCTATTCCAACAAACACTTGTGAGTAAAGCCTGCTTGTGGGATTGGGTCTTTCACGAGCAATCCAAAGTAAACATGGTTTAAAAATAAGCCTGAATTTATTTAATAACTTCTCTATCTTTAATCTTATTTTGGCTGAGGAAAAAGTATATTTTTCAATCTTTTTATGTTAATGTGACTAGAAGTAACTATTGCATATGATTTAAATGCCCTGGAAAATAATTCCAAATTGAAATGCTGGCAAAGTTAACTGGGCAGTGCCGCGAAATAACCTGTTTCTATAGATGAAGAATGTCTTGCTTCTTAATATGCAGCTCCTACTACATTAAAATGTTGGCGGTGAAGAAATTGTACCCTCCTAAACATATGTAGTGAACTTGAAACAAGTCTAAACCTCTAATCAAGTAGTTATGGTTGTTAGCCAAATGCAAATTATCTAAAAATTACCTCCCAAGTTAAGGAATTGTAGGAGCTAGAAAACAATTCATGAAGTTGTTTGGAGCAAGCTCAGGTGGGCTCTTCCCCAAAACCTTTTCTTGAACTTTATAATGACAGTTTAAAGCGGAGTTTGATTTTATAAAAATCCATCACAATTGGCCAGCTCTGCTGGTTAATTTTGTGGGGTCTTAATATTCTTATGAGGCTAGTACTTATCTTAGGCTTTGAAAATAATTGCTTTGTCTTGCAGCTTGTTGTTCCTGTCTTGTGAAAAGGGTGAAATGAAGAGCTAGCACCCTCCGTATTCGCTGTCTGTTTCAGAATTAAAAGGAACACTTGAAGTACAGAGGATATCTACAAGCTCTGTATTCTGAGGGGGCTCCTACTTCAAAATAATATTCCGTAGCATTTTTGTTTTGCTGCATCTTAAGTGCCTGTGTCAACCATGCGTGTTTCCTCACTTCTAAAATTAGATGATGCAAAGTTGATTTGCATTAGAAATAATTTATAGTCTAGATTGAGCTGAGGGCATGAGATAAAATGGTATTTCACTTCCTTTAGAAACCTTATTTACGCACAAGTTAAAACAGTTTTCTTGTTTATCCACCAGGATGTTAGGCACTACATGTAGTTTTCTGGGACCAGAGCTTCTGAGATGATCACTTGGCCCCAATCCTGCAAATACTTGCTGAGATGAATAGTCCCATTGAACTTAATGAAAGTGCTTGAGTATAATATTACTCATGTGCATAAGCATTTACAGCAGAGTTGAGCAAAATACAGCCTGCACGCTGGATTCAACCTGCCATGACTCTCCAGGCACTAATGTCCCATGGCCCAGCAGGTAGCTTACGCGGGTGGCCCCGCATGCTACTTGAAGCAGCTGGTTGCTGGAGCAAGCGTGTCTGTGTGTGTAGCCCTTGGGGAAGAGAGGCAGCTGGGCTGGAGAGACCCCACCACCCCAACCCACCCACAGGGTCCTGGTTAACCTGTTAAATGGGATGCTTAACATTCCATTTAACCAGTTAACTTTAACTGGAATTTTACATCCCCACCCTAAACACCTGCCCCAGGTCAGAACCCCTTCCTACTCTCCATCTTCCTCCCAGACGGAGTACCTCAATCGTTTGCTTGGGCTCCTTCCTGCAAATTCATTCCCAGACCTTACACTCCACACCATTTAAAATATAAGAAAAGTGTGACCTGTAATCACTTATCAAGTTCTTGGCATGGCCCCCCTGCAAAAATTATTGTCCACCTCTGATTTACAGGATCAGAGTCTTTAGGGCAACACAGCTACAGGTTGTACCTCCCTCCTCTGGCACCCTTGCGACCTGACTTGTCCCGAACAAGAGGATTTGCTGAACAAGGGAAGGTCTCTCCCAACATGGCCCGTTCTGCCCCTGCCTAGGGCTCCAGCTGAGCCCTGCTGCGGCTTCTGGGACTCTGGCCACTGCTGCACCCCGCTCCCTCAATGTAGGGCTCCTGGCTTAGTCACACCCCTGCTCCTGAGGCTCACCCTCCTTATCCATGGCAACCTGCTGGACCACAGTCCTGCTTAAGGGAAGTACAATTTCTACTAAGGTTCTCCAGCTTTTCTATATGAGTATCAGGAGAACTTGACTATACTCTCCCACAGTATACTTTCCCTGTTTTACTACTTATTTTGAACAGTAATCAAGAGACACATTTTCTCTTTCATATGAAGCTTCTATCCATGCTGCTTGACTGCTCACCTAAACAGTTGCTGAGGTCAGCTTTCAGAATGCAGCCACCGTACTGTTTATTTCCCTATTAGCTGCAGTGTGTTTTTAAACCAACATCTCAGGATGAAATCCTGGTCCTATTGAAGTCAGAGAGACTCTTGCCATTGCCTTCAATGAGGCTAGAATTTTGCTCTCAGCCTGCATGATGGGTGTAAAGCGAGGCCGCTCAACTTTGAAAGCCCCAGAGGCCGCAATGATACAGTACATGCTGAGGGCGGCAACTTAAGTATGGCTGCATATGCATGCAAATATATATGCAAATAGCTTCTTTTACACAATGCCCAGGTGCTCCTGGCACCTCCTCCCTGGAGGCTAGAAATGCTGATACTCAATACCCATCTGTTCCAACCAGCCCATCCACTTGCGTCTTTTAGTGCTTGCCCCACCTGGGAGATTCCTTGCCGTTGTAGAGCGTATTCCCAGTGGAGGCCATGTTCAAAGGATCCCACCCATGAGCTGCATGTTGAGCCCTGCGTAAACCCAAACTGCTCTGTGGGCCACAAACACATGGGCCTCGTGTCTCACGGGCTGCGTGTTGAATAGCCCTGGTATAGAGTACAGTACCACGCTGCCAATATCAAAGACTTTTTACATGTGAATTGGGGGCTTATTTTCCTCTGATATGCAGTAGCGTAATAGTACAACTTCATATGCCTAATACCCTTCATCTGTGGACCACAAATTATTTTACGGATGTTAGTTAATTCTCATAAAACCCTTGTGAGGTAAGTAATGTTCCTCCCATTTAGCAATTTAGGAAGGTAGTGACAATTGAATCCAAGAATGGAAGCAGGACCATCGGTATAGAAAAGATTATGAATGACTGTTTCTCTTAAGAGCTATAGGCTTTGTAATGATAACAAGTGATGCGAAAACTCAAGGACCTAATAGCATGAGCATGAATGAACTATAAGAATTTAGAACATACTACATTGCAAGAGAGAATCCTCCAAAGGTGAATGTTTCTGGGAGAACAAAGACAAAATATCTAACACTGAGTGTTCTTCCCTCATTTCCTTTGCATGTGCATATTTACTTTGGAGCTAGGCCCAAGCTCCAAAGTTCAGATTTGAATCCAAAACTCAACTGCCTCCGAGTCAAAGGGAGTCTGGTGCAGATTCATGATCTTAGAGATGGTCAGCTATGAAGTTTGCATCTAGATCCAGAAATAATTAGTAATTGGATCCAGGGTTTTGGTGTGAGTCTATAAATAATGTGAGTTACATATAATATTTGCATAACAGGGATGCAAACTTCTGGACAAAAATATGCATGAAGATCATCCACTTGCATCCAGAACTTGGAATGAATGTTCTGGTATGTTTCTTAAGACCTGTGGTAAAGTTGGAGCAATAATTTACTTTCTTGAAATTCTATCCTCTTTGTGCTCAGTTCCCACTGAAGTGATCAGGAGTTGCCCATTTTCAAGGCATAGAACGTAGCCCTCAAGACCTGATGAATTTTCTGGTCACATGGTGTGACTGTGTGAGGTTTTATTTTAAACAAAATGTAAGTGCCTTGTAAATTTCTTTCAGGAAGCTTAAAGATGTACACAAATTTGCTTATAGGCATTTCTCT